CCTATGTTGTCAAAAGGAAGAACGAAGGTTTCTCTTCCGTATGCAACCCGACGAAGCCAGGTATTGTGCAAGCCCTGGTACAAGAACTTCCAGAGTGAAACTTGTAAAGAATCCATCCCTTCAATGTCCTTGTAGCTTGAGAATCTGCTTTGTCGAATTCTGAAGGGAAAGTCCAAACCATTGATCTTGTTGAAGTCGTGGAAGTCAACATCAGGTTTCCGGTTCTCCACTGGTGAAATTTCAATTGGTCTGCATGTATATCCTTCGTTGACCGTGAAACTTGCTCCCGAAAATGACATAGGTCTCGGCGATCTCGGTGTGAAAGAATGGCGTTGAGGTGCAAAATTGGCATTGTTGGGGGGTGTCTGTGAGCACGGAGGCGGTGTAGGCGAAAAAGGTGTCGTAGGTGAAGTCCATGGTGGGCGTGTTGGGAACGATGAAGATGTAGGTGGTGAAGGCGGGATTCCGAATGGGTTCCAAAAAGGTCGATGGGTCGTCATTGCATAGTGCATTGGGCCGCGAAACGCAGGTACTGCTTGGTGCCATCCATGTTGATGACGAGAAGGTGTGCGAGAGCGATCCGGCTGAAAAGAAGAAATTCCATTCATATCCGCGCTGTATTGAAAGATCAGGTCCTGAAACGCCATGATGTAGAAAGGGTCACGAGATAATAGGTCAAAATGCGCTCGAACTGCCGAATGAAAGCTGCGGAAAATGTCGAGGTGAGACAAGGGTAATGTGTAATTGAAATAGGGTGAGACATAATACGTGGTCCCAGTGTGTGAAACGTAAAGTGAAAACGAATCGAACCAAAGAATCAAAAACAGAAGCATGCAGCGATTCACAAACCTTTTGAGAAAGAAGCGGCGTCAATACCGAATGTCGAAAGAAGCATTGTTACTCCAAAATGATCGGGCAGGGCCACTAGGCTCACTGTATCGATGACGTAGAATAGTCGATACTTGTTCCGGTGCTCCTCAAGGGTAAGAAGTTCACCAACGAGATCTGAAGTGGTAGGTCGAGTGTCGAGAACGAGGTCTGCCTTCATGGTGCTGGTCGCGAGAGTGGTCTTCATGGTATGATGAGCGGCGATCTCGGCGGCTGTAGGTTGAATTGTCCCAAGAAGCATCGTCGTGCCAAGATCGGCGAGCATAGTCCCGAGAGCCAGAGGCAGCGGTCTCGCGGTGGCTCGGTGTGTCGCGAGAGTCGTCTGGGGGCGGTTCCGAAGGTTCTGGGGCGTCGGCAGAAGGGTCAGGTCGTACTGGACGTGCAGAATCATCAGAAGGTTCCGAAGGTGCATTGGTCTCCGTTGTCTGGTGTGTGATCAAGCTCGGGAAAACGAAGTGAGTGAAGGCAACATAGCATATGAATGCCGCGCTTGAGTTCATAGCTGTTGCATTGTCTTTGCCCTTGGCTATGCCCGTAAGGTTGCACAAGCGTTGAATTTGGTCATTTCCTCCAGCAAGGGCACGAATGCATTTTGGTGAGCGGCAAATGGCCAACAGGCATGATGGGTTTTGTTCCTTGCCAATTTTGTAGAGCTGAGAAGTACAGATCTTGACAGCATAGCCGGAAAGGGTGTCGATGTCTGCGATCTCAGAGAACATTCCGAAGAACCCGTAACATGGGTATTGAGTTGGTATGCCAGCTTCGTTTTTTGTCCAAGTTGCCGGGCGAATGCAGTCTTCCGCCAGAATTTTGGCAACTGTTTCCCAACTCGTTTTGTGGTAGATCAGGTAGGTGCCCATGTGTTCGCCACGGTAGATTGGTTTCTTTGGCAATCCTGTGGGTACCGTGATGGTCAGCAGGTTCTCTGGCTCGATGTAGAAGGCCTGTGGTTGCCTCGCAAGGTCGATGTCCAGCAAGTTGAATTGTGCAAAGGCCCTGGCAATGTTCCTGACGGTGGCTTGGCTTGCTTTGATATAAATACGATGGTTGTTGACGGTACGGTATGGTTGAGCCAGCTGTTCGAACATCGCGTCGACGAATTGGTTGAAGAGCTGCGAGATAGCCGGAGTCAATGATTGGCGTAGAGAAACAACATGGTCGGGTCCAAGCTCCGTCAGGCAGCGGACCCTAAGGGGGTCATTGGCTGCCTCAACCATTTCACTGAGGTCGATGTCATTCGTGTCGAACTTGGTGATCGAAATCGTTTCGGCAACCTCAGAGTTTTCACTGTCGCCGTCAGGAAGTCGGAAAAACACAGCGCCGAGTGGTGCTGAAGTGTGGGTTGGTGGGTTGGTTGGTGGTTCCGGTGGTGGTGGATCGGTAGAAGAATTGGGTCGAGTATTGTGGTGATGGTAGTTGTCGGTGTAGTGACTGTCGTTCCATGTACCCCAGGTGTCATCAGCATCGGGAGTGAAAATGTAGTTCGAATTCGATGGGTTCGCAGCTGGTCGAAGTACGACTTCACGGCCTCTGAATCGGTGGCGGGGCGTCGCGGAACGTGAACGTGGGCGAGATCGATGACGTCGAGGAACCACGGGAGAGCGGCGTCGTGGTGGTGAGCGTCGTCTTTATGAAGATGGGGTTCTGCGGCCCTTGTCGGGTTTCGTGAATGATCGATGACGAGGGAGAGGAGAACGAGGTCGCTCTGCACGTGAAGAAGAATAGCGATGGCGATGAGAATGTACAGAAGGTCGATGGGAACGTGGTCGTGGAGTCCTAGATCTTGGTCGGCGTGTTGGGGATGATGGAACTGGTAGTTGGTGAGGAGGAGCAATGGCTGGGGCTTGAACAATGCGAAGGTCCGGAACGTCAGGTTCGGTAGGTCTGGCTTTCGGTGCAGGTGGAGGCGTGGCGATCAATGGTGTTGTAGTTGTAGGTGGCGGTGCCGGTGGTGTAGGATTCGGTGGAGGTTCATCTTGTTGAAGAAGGAGTTGACGTTGTTCTTGTGCTCGTTGAGAATCCATGATCAATAGTTGCTGAGCTTGAATAAGTCGAACAGATTCAGCCAGTTGTTGTGCAGTGGAACCCAGGGATGCAAGTTCAGGTGACACGGATGAAGTCGGTGCCGTCGTAGGTGCCGGTGGTGTAGCGTGAGGAGGGGTTTTCGGAGCTGGCCTGCGCGGTCGATCCGGTCTTTTGTCAGAGCGATGCCTGGGAGCTGCCTTGACTGCTGGGGGCCGTGGTGAAGGCTCATTTGGAGGGACAGTCGATGCGTCCATCTGTAATGGAGGTTGAATGTGGTGAGGTGGGTATGGAGAACTGGGCAAAGGTGTCGGTGTCAAAGTCGATGTAGGTGGTGTAGTCGATGTAGGGGATGGAGCCGGAGGGGAAGGCCACGTGGGTGGAGCGGTGGGTGCCATAGGAGATGGAAAAGTCGACGGAGCGGTGTGCACCATAGTTGGTTCAGGAGCCAAAGGCGAAGACATGGTGGGTACTAGCTGTGGGCCTGGTACTGCATGAGGAGCCGAAGTCAATGAGGTGAACGGCAACGATGTTGGTGTTGATGTAGACGGCATGAGCGAAGCTGAGGATGACCATGTAGGATGCAAAGCCGAGGGATGTCCAAATAGATGTGCATTCGGCGTTGATTGCTGCCACGTCGAAGGTGGGTTCGAAGGCTGCGGTGGAGCAGGCCATGACGTTGGCGGAGTGTTCCACGGATGCATCGCTTCAGTAGATCAAAACAAAAGTAAACAATCACATACAGGATTCAGTCCCTAACTGCCTAAAATGTCGTGCGATTATTCCCTGCACCGGGACCGTGGTCAAGTCGTGCCGCAATGGCATAAAACAGCTTTCAAGTTCCAACGAATTAGATGCACAAAATGTTTCACCTCACCAGAGAACCAAAAGGAAGGAATACCACACCTGAAAGTCGTGTGCCTGCCTGATTCCTGTATCAAATGCTGTTGTCATGGACCGTCAAAAGCAGCTGCGAAAAGGAAGTTTCTGGAGTTCGGCACGGCTTCACAGTTGAAGAAACGCATCTGCGAGTAATCCCTGGGACATCCGGAGCAGCAGGAGAACTCAAAATGGCTGACAAACCGTAAGGCCAACTGTTGCAGTTTACTTAGATGAATTATCAACTTAAAATGTGTTAATTCGGCAGTCAAGACAGTCGTCACTCACCCTGAAAAGGGTTGCCTCAATTGGCTCCATGGCACCATGTCGGAGCCACCATGGAAATCACACTAGACAAGAATGGATCATTATATGATCCGGCAGGAACTGAATCCTGAAACATGCAAACCAGCCTAGATTATTTGATGAATAAAAGAGCCACATGAGGTACTTCTCGAAAACGATGTAGGGCATCCGAAATTGTCAAACGTAGTCATAACCAGATTCCATAGAGTTTTGACCAGCATGTTGAAATCCAAAATGATGTTTCGGCGATTGTTTCCCAAAATAACCCATAGTTCGTCGGCGACAGGATCTCGGCGAAAATAAGTCAAAAAACATAATATTGTCGGCGATATGGTTTCGGCGAAAATCTGAGAAAGGTTCTGATGCATGTAAATTTCAAAATTGATTCCAGATTGCGACAACAGTGCAGCAAATTGTATAACATTGTGGTTGGGGTTCTAAGCTTGGCCCCGTGCTATTTCGGAAAATTCGAGCTGCAGGTACGCATGGCTGATCAGGCCATGTATCACCAGGGAAGCCAGAGTGTCTTCGTTGGTGGTAGACTCTGGACCCTGCTACCACCCCCTGCAAATTAGTGAAAACCAATAAGAAGTTTTACATCTGTTCAGATGGTACACACACACACATATATATATGTGTGTGTGTGCATACATGTGTATATATATATACATATATATATATACATACATATATATATATATATTACATATATATACATATACATATACATATATTATACCTTGGGTAACCCCACAAAAGCGGGCACACATATAAAGCCACAGAAATTAGGGGTATATCTACTTACATAGCCCTTACAAAGGCCTTATATAAGGTAGGTGCCTCCAGTTTAGGTCCCGGAAATGGGGTTGTTCCCAGCCGTTGCGATCCATTTTTCGCCGGGCATCGTCGAATCCATCCACGCCCCCAAGCAACAGCGCTTGGGGAGGAAAGATCTCTGCCAGTTCCAACGACACGCTGCGCAAGCAACTCCTGGTGGGCCACCGTGGCTGGGACAATCCATGGGAAAATCCACTAGCCATGGAGGTTTATGGCTCGAAAAATCATCTAACAATGGGGAGTTTCCAGCGATCTTTCAGAGGGTATCCTCTGGGGTTCAGGAATTCATGAAACTGGTCACTAACTTGTGCTGCTTCACCCATGGTATAACCCATGTTGGATGGAAAAAAAAACAAGTCCATAGCTACTGTGGATGGGCCAGCGAAATCCTGCACCAGTTGATGGTTTATCCCACTATTTATAAGGGGTAAACCATCCCTCCGGTGGTGTAGGATTTCGCAACGACCCACCATAGGTGGGGTGCTTGCACCCCCATTCTAGGCCTTGGGGACATGAGCAAAACGATGACTTTCAATCCCCATTGGCATCCCATTGCTGTCCTGTTTTCGGAGAAACCCATATATGTACAATACATTCAACTGAAGATTACTGGTTATTTAAATAATTGATATACCAAAACCCGAAAAAACACCCAAAAAAAATCGCCCAAACCCCACATTCTTGGGTGTTTGGCCGTGGCAACTTTACGGGGGGTTCCATGGTCTTCCACTGCCGACCCCCACCTCAGTGGCTTCGAGCACTGCGAGATGGCAATGGCCTCCCTGTGTCCAAGCAAGCCTTGGAGCGTGCGCGTGTGCAGTGTAACCCATTATTGGTTGATGATTGTAGGGGGGTTATACAATGTTATACGGTACCATCTGGTTATGACATTCACAGTTCGCCATGGTTTTTCGATGGCCCTAATCGAAATAGATGCGCTCTACCGAATTCTCAATAGCATGGTGGATTGGCTTCCATGGCAAACTGTTAATCAATCCATGAGCGTCTTGAACACTGCTCCTTCGGCAAGAAAAAAAAGCCGAATGGTACGAATGGTATGCAGCCCAAAATAGCTCGTAATTGTGGCATATCCTCAGTTAAGAAATTGAAAATCCCGTGTCTTCAAGCTTTCTTCCAGAATTTCTAGGGAGAAGTCAGAGAAATTAAAATATATTTAAATAATGTCATAATGTCCTTTGGACATACGCTTCTGTTTTCCTTTGTCTACTTGGAATCATCTATGAATATGGAATATGGCAAATGATTCATTGCAAAGTTATGGACAACGAGAAATTTGGATCTATGTGATGGGTGAAACTCTCTCAGCTCCCCTTGTTTCTTGTCACTGATTCAACTGTAGATGTATCATAATCAAGTCTATCCTGGTTTGCCTAGTTCTAGACCAACTTGTCATTGTTGAATCCCCAAATTGCTGTCCCAGATGTTTGCTCCCCATAGTCGTCACCAAACGTGGCTGGGCAATCCCCCCCTCTTTTGAAACACAACGATCAGCGGAGTCGATGAGGTGAGTCGCTGGGATCGCTGGATGACTGTGCCAAAATGGTCGATGAATTTCGCCTGTACAGTCGAGTTGTTTGTTAAAGGACCAGCCGCGTCTGCTTCTGAGACGGGCCTGAATTGATGTCACATGATCATATTGGGCATCTGAAACCCACTGGATCTCATAGAAGTTACTGATGCTTCATGTACACCCCCAAAGATTGGCTTCAACCTTGGAGGTATCCCCAAAAAATATGGCATACCATAGGCATCCTCAAGATGTTTTTCAATTTTCGACCCAGCTGGGCCCCAGTTCTGACCATAGCACATCAGATCACATCTGCCCCTGACGAGACATCACCAGCTACAGAAGCCACACAAGGGAACTTCGCGAGCACCCTCCACCTGCCGCGCTAGCACTTGAAGCACAGCTGCTCAGCCAAGGTTTACCAAGTTTATATGACCAGTAGATTAAAATACAAACATATCCCCATGTCTGGTTTACTGAAAGAACGTACTCGGCTTTAGCTTTACCCATATGTATCATGATGATTATATAAATCCCAACATTTATTGGTCATATAAACCGTGTTAAACCTACCGCATTTAATTTATGGGCAACCAAATTTGAACCTATTCAGCCAAGGATTACCCTTGCCCCCACCCACTTGGATTGTTTATTTCATCGCCCCGTTTTGTAGTTGATAATTGGGGATCGTTTATTATTGGGTGCGTGCCTATCTTTTTCTATGGTTTGTCTGGCTTGTCCGCCCAGCTCTTGTAATATTGGTAAAGTTGGTTAACTACTATATGGGGGGTTTCCTAAAATAGGGGTACCCCCAAATCATCCATTGATCAATTTTCCCTTATAAACCATCCATTTTGGGTATCCCCATTTATGGAAACATCCATATCTTTGATTCTGTAATACCCATCATATTCCCAGATTCTTTATCCCCAATGTATTGGACTAAAATTGCTTGCCCCATGAAAAATCACTATATGGCAGTGTGTCAAAACCTATAGTACCCCTGTAGTTCACATCAAAATAGCTGGGATTTATGGATGTTCATTCCCCTAAAAATGGTATTTTCATAGGTATTGATCCATACCCATATCCCATGTCGCCATCTTTTATGGTTCTGGGGATGGTGAATTGGTTTTTTCATACCTTTTATGGACACCTCATGTCGCCCTTTATCCTCCAATAAAATTAACATGACGACCCTGTGGGCCTGTCAAATCGAGGATGAGTTTCCAGTGAAATAGGTCGAACTGTTCATAGAAACCAGAGGGTAGGGTAACTTGACTTTTAGGTGTTCAAGGTTCGGGAGTTTGCCCGTAGCAATACTATCTAAACATCTAAACACAACTAGTTGCTTGGGTTGTAATATGCCAATATAATCTCCCAATATCCCTATAAATCTAGGACCACTAGCTTAATATGCCATATAATATTCCATTAATTAACTCCCATATATATAATCCTACAATATGGCTAAAGTAGCTGATCCATCCAGTCGGTGGTTACTAGATGATATTGGATATGATATATAGATTTGGATAGGATAGCCACCTATATACGTTTTTGCCAACATCAACCGTCGGAGCTTCTGCGCATTGCTCACCAGTGGTTGATGGGGAATAGCCTCTGGTAAACGTTTACATAACTATGGAAAATCACCATTTTTAATGGGAAAATCCACTATTTCGACTGGGCCATTTTCAATAGCTATGTTGACATCACCAGAGGGTAGCCAGTCCAGTTGGACTTGAAGTCACCAGTGTTCCTAACCACTTGAAATCCTTATGGAATGATCCTCGCTCCTCATGTGGGTCAACATGGGATGAATGGGACTCCTTGCGATGGGTATATAACTCAAAAAAAGAACTTGATGACCACAGTCCCCCAAGCTGGGTTATATAATCTAATCCAATCTAATGCAACTTTCAACTATGGCACATACAATTATATAGTGCGGATATATCCCACTGTCGATCAATATTCCATTAATGTAATTAGTAAGTATCCATTAATATCCCAGTATAATTGGGTTTCCCACATAACTTCCCACTTAACATCCCATATAAGTTCCACATAGAAATATTCCATTAGAGTCGACTTCAGTCGACAGTAGCCCCCAAGTAAAAAATGAGTCTACCAGGCGGATCCGAACACAGGACGATGAAAAAAATCCTGAAATGGGGCTACCCCCAGTCACCATCCATTTATAGATGGATATTTTCCATGAAAGAAACCATCTATTTTTTGGGCTATCCGCATTTCAGGAAACCTCCTTTGTGTGAATAATTTTAATCCTTGTTCCCGGATATCTGGTTGTAGTTGTTGGAATCCCTAACGTCCTAGTAGCCGGAGTCCAGGCAGCATTGCTGAGCGGCACAAACACCGTTTTCCCTTGCGACTTGAGCCAAATATTTGGCGTCATGTCAGGCCTACTCCACATGCTTATACATGTGTGCAGTACCGTTTAGTTCCCTTTAGCACCCCCCATGCCTACGGTGGCTTCGCACCGCAGGCACGAGAGTGGGAACTTTGAATTATATTGTTTGTGGTGCACGAATTACGCCTTTGTACACGCAAATCCATTCAGCTCCCCCTTCACCCACACCTGACGAGCGTAGTGGATCCGGGGTTGCCTACTCTATGGCATGCAATGCGTCAGCGCAAGTTCGAGCTGTACAACGCAAATTATCACTAGCTTGCAGCTACTCTACGATTACGGCTTCGCAAGTCACTCCATCGACGACGGAAGTTGACTGCTCCACCAAGAATAGCAATTGACGCTAACTAGTGAATTCACGTGCACATTGCTAAAAAGAAAATCGTGCAGATTGGGAATAGTGAGAACATGGAACCTAAGCGAATTAGTCTACTGCCTCGCTCAGAGTCCTCTCAATTGGTCTTTTCCTGATCATCTGTTCACAAAGACGATAGACATCTTATAGTCCAGTGATCACTTGGATGGACAGAGGTGGTTGATTTACTCCTCACGGCGGACTTTCTTGCACTGAGGTATCGTTTGAGATTTCTCCCAACCTGCCGCACGTTTCGGAGCAGCTTTCGGCGATGCTGGTTTCGCAGGTGGTGCTTTAGGTGGTCCATAAGACTTCGGCATGGCCTTAGCCTTTGGTGCACTGGCCGATGATGACGCTGAACCAGTATCTTCAGGTTTCTGTGAAGGCTGTGTTGATGATCTGGCTTTCGCGTCCGCAGCAGCACGCTTGGTGCTGGCACTGTCCCCGACTGCTTTGAATACTTCACCTACCACTTCGTCCCCCAGGTTCGGAGCCATCTTTATTTTCATTTCGGACTTTCCCCTCATCGCCTCGGACTCAGCGAATTGAATGGCGTAAGCCATCTTGCCGATGAAGTTGCGAGGTAATGGAATACCGCATTGTTGGGCAGCGAAGAGTAGTTCCACCCTTTGTTCCCTTTCTCTCAGACTCAGATATACCGAGAAAGCTGGGAGTTCAATGCAGTTGGGGAAGCCGTGGCTCCCGGAACGAAAGAAGGTGTATGACTCATATTCGGGAAAGGTTCCCTTCATCAATCGTCGGAGGAAGTTGCTAATGGTCACCCTCATCTCCTGCTTCTCCTTTGCATCTCCCTGCATCTTCGTCATTGGCATGAGGAAACCTAAGGAATCGGGAGTGTACCCGGCACAGATGAGAAACTCCATCATCTTTTCGTAAACTTCTAGAGTTTTGATGACAGGCATCATCATGTTTCTCGGCCGCCCAGAGTACATCAATTCTCCCTCTGACCATGAGTTCGTCTTCCCTTTCTCCTGAAAGAGTGCGTCCAATTCCTGCTCAGTCGGCCGCTTGAGTTTGCCGTCCTGATCTTCGCCCGTGTAGGGGCAGAAGTCGTCCAGGTCCAGTCGGACTCGCTGGACTCGCTTGGTGATTGTCATCAACGCATAGTATTCCTCTGGGGTCAAATTGACTCTCTGGTTGTAGTAGAGTCTGAACATTGCGATGATCTTTGACATCACGGCATTGTCGTACAAGTGAGCCGCGGCCTCGGAGACATCATTGTTTACTAGTCCATCTCCTGGCAAACCCTTGCTTCCAGGCACAAGATTCTTGGTCCATACTGAGCATACTGGCAGGTTGTCTGAAGCCTCTTTCTCAGGTTCGACGTTCATGTCATCATCGTCGTCCTCCTCAACGATCTCGTCGTCTTCCTGCTGAGTCTCTTCCTCCTGAGCAATTTCATCACCACCGGCAAAGATAATTCGTCGTCGATTGGGATCTTTGTTTTCTGTTTGATAACATTCCAATAACATTCCAGCTTTTCCATTGATTTTGCATGAAATCAACCCTCCAGGGTTTTTCGTATCCAAAAAAAAACTCCCCATTTAACTGGAATGGTAAAAATCATGAACCATCACATTTATGAACCATAAATATGGGGTATCCCCAAGAAATTATCCCCAGTATCCAGCTATTGGAGAAACCCCCACATTCCCAATTAAAATTAGGCTATTTTCAGGGTCTATGTTAATTTACCAAATAGTAGATGCCACCAGACCCAATGGTTGAGAACATAATGACATCATGTTTTTTTCATGGCCATAAGTTGATGGTACGTAGTAAATACACCATTTTTGGACGAAGTCGCCTTGTCGTCCGTGTTCCTTGGGCTCTCGTCCTCCCGTGGCAATGCTGTCGTCACGGTTTCCTCGTCCTCACCGCTGTGGCCACGGCCGCGCTTCGTGGCGTCCACCGTCAGGACCTGGCTGCGTGAGTCAAAACCACGTCGTTCTATGCGGAGAATTCACCAAGAAATGCGGATGAAAACCACCGGAAAATTGGAAGTTAACTGATTTAAAGCTTAGGGATTCAACCAACAGACTTTGGTGATTCCAGAAAGGTTGGCATCATTTAGCAAAAATTGGCAGTTAATCGACCCAAAATTGTAGATTAAATTAGACTTAACCGAACCCACAAAAATGTGATATGTGATTCAACAAATAAAGAAAGGAGATGTTCCAGAACGAAATGTCGAGACCCCATGACAACTGCTTCGTGATAGAATTGGTCATCTTTCAAGAGTGAAATGGAGAGATCAGGCAGCAAAAGGCAGAGTTGTTATCAATAAAGCGGGATCGAACCTATCAGAGTTTGCAGAGAATGATCGAACCAACAAAAAAAGTGGCTTAAGCAGGCAGAAACATAAACAATGGGGAGGGAGAGGAAAAAAACAACGCTACACATCAAGCTAGTGGTCTACTCTACAAGAACGATGACATCAAGATGGACATCATGTTTGTACCAACAACTGTATTTCCAATAAACTATTGTTTTTGGACCAGCGAAGATAGACCAAGAATGGTGAGTTTAGCACCCCTAAATCACGGAGAGGAGCGAAGTTGCAAGCATATACCATCCACGAAAGTATAATAGATATGGAAAATCCACCATTGCCACCATTTGTAGATTATTTCTTCAGGAAACCATGAATTTCCTGGATTTATCTTAGTTTTAATCACAGGGTATGTTTTTCGTGTCGAAAAGAGTGGTCAAATCTTTGGCATTTGCAGAGAAAAAGAACATGTGAACATGCCGACGTAAGAGAAATCCATGTTTGGTTTCTGTAGGGGACATACCCTCTGGTAATTTAACATAACTATGGAAAATCACCATTTTTAATGGGAAAATCCACTATTAATGGTCATTTTCAATAGCTATGTTAGTTTACCAGAGGGTACCCCCCATGAAAATTTCTAAAGCACGCCACCATCTTAGGGTAAACCGCTCACAAAAAACAGCCGGCAAAGTTTGAGGTGAAAACCTGGGATGTGATTTTAGGTACCAAGAAAAACGCCATGACTCATGACCATGTACCAAAATCTCCGGCTGTTTGATGTATTTCATGGGTTCACCGTGAAATACTTTAGGAGGGTGAAACCTTCATAATGATATAGATCTCGTGGCCAAATGGCCAACCAAACCCGTTTAAATGACAAAGTTACTTTTTCTAGGCAATATTCAAACAACAAAGTGTGTTTAAAAGACATGGCTCAGGAATCAAACAAATATCAGGGGAAAGGGATTACCGGAACATCCCCCACTGCTTCTTGGTCACCACTTCAACAAAACAAAACACACCCCAACACCTACCATTCACCAATTTCACCGTTTGAAAAAAAATCGGTCAAAGTAGATGCTGTTCCTCTTCTAGGTATGGGTCACAATTGTTTATATTTGTTTATGTACTCCATTAGATGCTTAATATGAAACATGAATCCATGTCAATCTGTGGTCCCTTAGGTGCCTCGCAGGCTGAAGATGGAGGCTCCATTGGCTCAATGGGGTGGGGCTCCTGGCGAGAACATTCTCTGCGCCATGGTGCATCATGGCGAAACATGGAAAAAAACTGAGAGATGAAGTCACAAAAAGATGGGAAAAACAATCCATAAATTGGTATGTGAAGATAATAGATTAATAGATGATGCTTCAGTGTATGATCCTCATTGGCAGTTCATTTCCTACAAATGGATTGATAACCTTCCCCCATTTTGAGGATCATACAACCCAGCTCTCAATAAAGACACAGTCCCGGATTCTGGTGGTGGGGTCAGTGCAGGTCAAGAAAAGACCAGGGATAAAATTGCGCACATTATATTGAACAATGAACGTGATACAACCGTGGATCTAAATCTATATCCATACCTATATCTACATAATACAATATCTATGTCTAAAAACAATGTACATTTGCATGTACATGTGTATATATCTTCCCCCAAGAAAAAATCTTGGGGGGGTGACCTTTTCAAGGATCACGACTTTGACCAGTAGGGAGATGACCCTGGGTGACAACCGCAGTTCGCAACCAATGATGAAGTTGATTTGAGCCTGAGCTGTATATCCACCCTGTATCCCCATTCCGTTGGTGAAACTGTCATGCTGCCACTTAGTAAGAAACAACTGTTGGGTATGTTTTGCTGATCTCACCATTTTATCCCCATTTGTGTTGTAAGATCCCCAAGTTTTGTTGGTTACGAGTCACCAATTGTTGGTGGTTAAATCTTCAATCAGCTAAATCAGTCCCGTTAGAAACTCAAAAAATCATCCTATCAGCATCCAGGATGGCCGATTTTTGGAGGCTTTACGGAGATTTCCGAAACAGGGTGCTAGCCCCAAATCATTCAAAATTAGATTCGATCATAGTATTGCAACACGGATCCAGCATTTTTAGCAATCCCCATCTCATCATCTTCTAACAATGAACTATTGATTAGCTATTAACAGCAATCATATATGATATATGTACCTTCGTTTTTCCCCACCATTTTTGCCACATCAACTCCTTCTCTTCCAAGAAGGACTCCGACTCCACGCGCATCTCGGGCTCTGTGTCCACCGGCAATTCCTGCAAATGTTTTCGGGGCAATCGGGATATATTGCTGTGAAATATCTATGTATCTATGAACATATAATATATTGTTACACATATATATATATACATACTCATATGATTTGAATAAAACCCAGATCCAAAATCATCGCAACTCACTTTCCTTTCTTAGGTACTACTCATACATGGCTTTACGTTGCATTGCATTACGGTTCAATTGGTGTGTGCATTTTCATTTACAGTACATGTATGTACCATGACATTGCGTACATGTCCGTATATACATATGTATTCCTAACCTCTAGCTTGAATATCTCGGGATTGTGATAGCATCTAGTTGCAAGCCACCTGATAAAAATTCCCGTGGATCGTAAACGGTCTCCAAAAAAAACACGCCAAGCTGAAGAAGTCGTCCAAGACATTCCACCAGTTTGCAGTGATACTATTAGGGGAAATGAATGGAAATAATTTGAAATGTTTATACTCCCCAAGAATTCCCGTGGCACCCAGGGTTGCAACTACCATAACTATCCACAAGTATGCTTACATAGGGACGCTTCACCTACATCACTCAATACAGTCCGCGCGCCTATCACTGCAGGTTTTTCCAAGTGGTGTCTTTCTTGTCACGGAATAAATGTTTGTTGGATAGTAGTCTTTTAACCCAACAGCTGGTTCCAGGGTTCCAGCGTTCCGTTCCAGCTTTCACGGCGGACAAAAAAAGGCGCACCACTCCTAGACCCAGAGATTGAAACCCAACAGTGCAGGAAATTGTTTCTTTGGGCTATATTTTCGATGCGAGTTTTTCCTTGGAAACCCATCTAACTATGGTCTAACTATGGTTAAACCCCTTTTAAAATCCCTTCAAACCCTTCTAAAGCCCATTAAAACCCAACTTTCAGAACATCTTTCAGAACTTGTTTTTACTGGGCGACAAAAGGCTAATCATCAAAATTCAAACCCAAACCTTAGGACCTTAGGAACCCATAAACCCACAGGAACTGAGTCCTTCACCACCCCTGGGCCCCGGCTGCCTTGACCTCCTCAGTCACTGGGACGGTACTCGGCTCCACTTCTTCCATGGGGGTCGTGTGGGTGGTCTCCTGGAAGCCCCATCGCATTGGTTAGTTTATTGGAGGCTAATACGAATATGACTAGAGTTTATTGAATATATGTCATATATATATATATATATCTTATATATATGTGTATATATATATGCAATATACATACTACGGTATGTATATGTATTATGTATATGTCTACATGTGTGCATGTATGTATGTGTATGTATATGTGTATGTGTATGTGTATGTGCCATGCATGCATGTATGTACGTATGTATGTACGTATGTATGTATGTATATAGTTGGATGATGTTGGATGTGCATCCCAGTTACTAAGTGGTCGATAATGGTAGTCCCCTCCCATCATTATTTTGGAACCCCAGTTCTGCGTCAAATCTGTCTGATTCATGGCTTCAATCTGTCTGAAAATCAAAATCGCTTGTTGGTATTCCGCATTTCAGACAAGCCCTTTTGTCTCCATGTTTGATTATATTATACATTATATTATTGTATATATATATGTATACAGTACATGATCCCAGTACATCCCTTTATTCATAATTCCCATTCACCAGGGGATCAAGAATATCCCAGTATATCTCCATCCCATATCCACGATCCCATGATCTCCTTTCGATCCTCCGGCTCCGCACGAGTTTCGGCTCGGGGCGCCACATCCTTGGATCCCTTGCAACCCATGCTGACTGTGACGACGGGTGACCGTGTGACGGGTGCGGCGCTTCACGGGCGGTGAAAGTTGCGGCTGCGGAACGAGAGCAACTTGGGTCCACTTGGTGAATTGGATGAGATTTTTCACAATCCGGAAGAGTTTGATAGTAAGGAATCCAAGTCAGATGTTCCCCAGCTGAGCACCAATCTTACATCCAACAAAAAAAATTGAGCACTCTGGTGCCAAACTCTTTTTTTCTATCTGATGATGGTTTCCCCTTTCAACACGCGACATATGGGTGCAAATTCCCAGCTGACAGTGTCATGTCACAAGCTGTGGGTCAAATCACCACATGCCTTGACAACCAAAAATATTCAGTTTGACATTGAAATCTCGAAAAAAGGCCACTTCAATTTCAATCTTTTATTGCTATATACTCATTTTTGTTTAGTTGAATGTGGTCAGCCCCACGTTTTTGCTTTGCATTGACCCTTGTCGCCCTTACCCTGGTAGAAAGTCCTTGTTTGATGCGAAAGTCATTTACAAATGGATACAAATCACGGATTTTTCCATGGCGATGTCACACTGGAATCTGAGGTGGTCTCAAGATATGGAACTTCAAAGCCGCTACAGTACCATTTTTTATAATGTTTCGTTTCAAAATTGGAATCAATGGTGGAAAATTCATCATTTTGAGACAAACCTGAAGATTTGTTGCTGCACTCCATCTCAACACATGTGTCCCAAAAGGGGTATAGCATGGATTTCCCCAAAACCGGTCCAAACTCAGAAACCTCCTGAGAACCCGTGCTTGCCACCTGCAATGACATCCCTGTGGCCGGCCGTTTCGTCATCTTCCCCATTTTCATTGCCATAATTTTGGTCAAAAATTACCCTCGTTTTTGGGACCCCATATTTTTTCTATAGCCCCGGCCTGGCGCTTGCATGCATTCCTCCAAGGACCCCGTGAATGTGCACCTGTAGCCGGAACTCGGTGACCGATGAATGGACGGTTCTGAACATACGTGGGATGTGCAGTGATTGGAAATCCCCTGCAAATGGGTATTTACATGGGAAAATTATCTATCGATGGTGGATTCTTAAGAGAGCCATGTTTGAAACTGCGGAGGGTAGATCTGGATGTTATCAAATGCATGTTCTCAGATGCCTTGTCAAAGGGGATGAATGGGTTACCTGTTACCTCTTTGGCCTCCATCAATTTATGGCTGAATCCAGTGAAATCACAAAAAAACCTCCAGGGCCATCCAATTCCAATTCCGACTGCACAAAGGGCATCGACTTTTCCACGGGGGACCCAAAAACTATGGAAGTTCCCAGGGACCACTACAGATTCGTGGGGGCACGTCTTAATCTTCCTGTGGCCCCCATGATTCCTTGTAGTTTCTTCATGTTTGTTGGACACCCATGATCCATTTCGCCCCAGTTTGATGAAAAACTCCAATTTTCGCTGGTGAAATCGCCACAACTTTGCTGCTGAAAGAAATGTTGTGTCCAACCTTCTCTGCAACCATTTCAAAATATTTAAGATATCCTTCATTTTTGCCAAGAAAAACTCACTTAATTTGATGTGGATGTAAAAAAATATGCCGGGAGGTAGAACCAACAAAAATGGGGTTTGAATAATGGGATGTTTTTTCCAGGATGTACAGTCAACAATATATGAAGTGAGCAGTTTCAAATTGAGCAGTTTAATTTTATGATATGTTATGGTGATATTTGATGGGATGGACATGACCAACAAGATACAGCCTGGTTTTCTTTTTATCGGTGAAAATTGGTGAGTCAATGCCTGGAAACACCCACCTAAAAACCAGCTCAAATCCCATATCCATGTTGCAAATGATGGTTAGACCACCCAAAATCACCAATATCTATATAGTCTATATGTCACTTGATGATATACCGCAACTATATCTGCATTAGATGGTCAAAGAATTATCAACCTTGCCAAGAACCATAATCTGTTTCCAAGATAGCACTAGTAATTGCAAGGAGAATGATATCCCCAATATAAAATATACCAAGATAATACTGTGATTAATTTTCATCAATATATATATATACACACAATGATCAATCCGTTTTAGAAACAATTGGTATGACTAATCCACATTGATCAATGATTCCCCATTCTCATCAATCATAGAAAGAATACTAGTCCCCACTAGTGGAACATATGGTCATTAACCCCACATTGGGAATCCAAACATCAAAACAGAATCCCAAATCCCCGGTTGATGACCATTCCCCAAACTGGGTTATCATCCAAAGTCTTATTATAGTTGGTTGTAAATCCTAAATATTCCCATGAATATACCATTAAATCATAGTTGTTCCTGATTGAATCCAAGTTTTGACCGCCTTTAACATGACATCCAGTCGTTCATGTACTGAAGAGAGAAGAAAAGGGTGCGCCCTCCCAAATAATCATCAATCAAGCATCATTTATCAAATATATCCCGACAGTTTTGATAGTTAACCACCCTAAATTATATCATAATTGTATCCCCATGAAATCACGAGCTACTCAATCAGCAGAGTTCGCAGGGATAAAGCGACATTTCAATGACATTGAATGACGATGTTTGATGCTTAAGTCCTATGTGTCATGATGTTTGATGCTCTTTGATAGTTAACCACTCTACAAGTCATAGTTACCCTCTGGTTATTTAACATAGCCAAAATGGCCCATTTATAGATGGTTTACCTGGGTTTACCTATTAAAAATGGTGATTTTCCATGGCTATGTTAAATAACCAGAGGGTAAGTTATATCCCCATTAATGTGGTAAACCTGTAAACCCCATATTCAACAAACCCCAAGGACCGGTTTTTCTTGGCCATACCTGGGCGATGTAAGATGACCCCCATAGAATGGTTCGATAATGGGATGGTTTGCTATCATTTGGTTTGCCACGTTAATGTGGGTAAAACAATAATAAACCATACCCCAAATCACTATAAATAGGTGGTATAAACCATTCCCAAATGCGTGGTTTATTATTGATGTTTCCCACTTTATTCCATTATTCCAGTAAATCATTGTAATTATCACCATAATTACCGATCATTCCTTGATTACTACCTTCTGGTTGTTTAACGTAGCTATGGAAAATCCCCCTTTCTCATAGATAAATCAATGAACCATGTTCCATAGCAAACTGTTCAATAACGAAAAGGTATATCCACCATTAATCACCAATAATCACCATTGATCATTGTTCACCATTAAATTGACCATTAAAACTGACATTGTATAGTTATCAATGATTAGTAATAAACCACTAATATACAATTAGAGAATTAGATATATATATATATACATAGATAGTGAACCATTAAATTAACCATTAATAGATGATTATTACCATGATATACCCATGTCACAAGCTCGGCACGGTGCTCGGCGCAGGATCTTCTGAAAGCGCTGCCGGTGCAGCTGGGCCGCCAGCTGTTCGGGGCGCAAAGTCTGCGCCGCCTTCGTCGAGGCCAGGGATGGCCAGAAAAAAACTGGGGAAAAATGGAGAAGGGTTTAAAATGTGGAAAACTTAGGAAAAGAATTGGGAAAAATGAAACAAAGTGGAAGAAAAATTATAGATTGATATGTGACGTCTTGACATGTCTTGACCACATGAGGTCACTACCATCCATCCAACAGCATGTTCAACATTCACCAAAAATTACCCGTTTCAACAACTCAAAAAACGTATGCATGTGGGGATGGCAGATAGTCGCAGCCGGGGCCGTGGCAGCAATGCCCAAATATGTACCCTCTTGCAGGCCACTGGAACACCAGGCATCCGGGTAAGACTTTATTCCTCAATCCTCGAAATCAAAAATTTGGGGAAACTACCAGAAAGTTGGGTACCCGACATGCGATGTTCGAAAATCGAAGAAAACTACCACAAAATTGGCCAACTATCCTTCTTTCCCCCATGCTTCCCCCGGTGCGAACCCCGCCTCCAGACACGCACGCAGAGCTGCCACCTCCTGGCACGGTTCAGGTGACCAAGTAGCCATGGTTGGTCTCTGGGGCTGCGCGTAAAATTGCGCCGCAACCCCAATTGCCAATTACTAAATAGGTTTCACGGAAAAATGGGTATGCCCCCTTTAATGTTAATTTTAGTGTCGATACCCCCTTGTAATTGAAGATAGTTGATTATGGAAAATCGCAATATTTCAAAGGTAAATTATGTTTATAAATCGACAAATGTCCATAACTATGTAAAATTACTGGCGGTATTTTTCTAATACATAATCCGTAAGCCCCCAAGGCTTCATACAAACCCAAGTCGGATGGTTCTCCAAGCAGGGTTGGCTCACTAACCTGGTTGAAACCCCGCCTCAGCCAGCTCCAAATGCTGCTTTGCTAAGCCTCAATTACCAGAAAATTTGGTGGCGCGCAGGAGTGTGCCAAGGCATAGGATCCAAAAGAGCCGCTGGCTTGTTGTTTCACGTCAAGAATCGCCGCGTTCCGCCCAAAAAAGCGCTTTGTTGTGCCGGGTAGCCTGACTCCTGCAACTTGAATGTGCTCGTCACATTTTTTAAAATTTTGCTAGACATATGAAAAAACAATGTTGCAAGGACTTTGCGAACGAGGAAGCGCAAACAAAAAAAACATGGGAAAACAATAACGCGAGCGCCTTGCGGGAGCAAAAGCACTGGGGGGTGGCCCTATGCAGACAGATAGATAAATAGATAGATAGATAGATAGATAGACATTGTAGCACATTACGGACATGCACAGTGAGGTTTATGTCTTGACTTCCTTAACGTCCAAGCGCTTTGCTTCTTTGCCGTTTGAAAACACAACGTCTGCGTAGCCCACTTAAATTTATCCAGCTGGTGGTTTCTAGTTTCAACCCCTCGAAAATAGTCAGTTGAGGGTCATCATCCAAATGTGGGCAAAAATTAGATACTTGAAGCCACCAGTTTGATCAGTTGAAGGCAGAGAAGGCCCCGGGAGAAATCCTCAAGTCATATCTGGCTCGGCAAAACTAGATACGTGA